TTACAGAGTCGTCAAATTGAAAAATGACTTCACAGATGATACATGAAGTCACCTTTCATTACATAATGCTTAAATATACATTAATTGTTTACCTAAATTTTGATTGCTGTGTCATACAGTATAAATACAAATAGTGGTATTTATATTAAGTGTAACTAAACATTAACATCTTCAATATCAAGGAAGAGCCATCCTTAATTAGAAGTGTGCGTCCATTGTTGGGCTGTGGCGTAGACGCACGTAGCGGTCAGTCTAGGCGCACATTCTCGTAGCACAGCTCGTTCGTATGCTCGAACACCAAAGTGCAAATAAATCTTACATGCAATTAGTGGTTTTGGCCACTAACCTAAGCCAAAATTTTTCGGGAATTGCACATTTAAATATGTGTACACTGGACATGTGATGGATTGTTCTTAGTGTTTATCTAACTACCTAGTGAAATTTTCTGTGTTTTTACTGTCATTAATGTGAGTACCTACTTTGTTTGTTTTTTAGTTTTCTTATGGTTTTCTTATACAAAGTTTTATAAAAAGAGAACAAAACAGTGAGTTCAGTAAAATTTACAACAATTAACAACAATTTCGATTGGAAATGAACGAAAAAAATGTTTCACAGTAATGAAAAAAGTATCAACTGCTATAGTATGATGAAGGATCTTACACCTGCTACTCATATTAATTTTATCAGTTATGAATCTTAACATTATCCTGTTTAACTTATTTACTAAATTGTGCAAAAGCGTAAAAATCCCGCATGTAAAAAACTGACTACACCCATCTCTTATTTACATTATTTACCCTAAAAAAATTATTACTATAAGTTGTTAATGTTTTTTATTCGGTTTCTAATTGCGAAAACTAGGTTTTAATTAAAAAATATTTATAAATTTAGTACATCTTCGTTAATTTTATAATAATATCCCTGCGTTAAATTATCTTAATTGAAAAAGATCAGCAATAATAATAAAGAACAGGTTTCATAAGTTGGTAAAATGGTGTCATGTCATGATCTAGATGGTACACATTATTTTGTCGCGTCAGGCGCGACATGGGTTAAACACTATTATTTGCTGCTGTCACACCCTTCCACTTACACAAGTAAGTTACAAAGATTACGTCTATCGCATTCAAGTTTGATTTCCATTAGAGTATCTTTTACTTTTGTTTAAGGTTTTTCAGTATTTCATTCCCTGTTCATATTATTTTTTGTTTATTATGTTATCACTGTAGGACAGACCTTATGATTGATTGAATATTTGTTTCACAAGATTTTTTGCTATACAAATAGCATCGCGTATATAAAATTTTTGGTATAAGTTTCCGGAACTTATAATTAGGAATTTATATGGATCTTAAGAAATTTTTACTACAAAAATTGTATTCGGTCCAGGTTTCAGAATTTCTTTAGATTTAAACATCTAGTAAAAGGGCTTAAAAATGTCATCGTATATTGTTTGATATTTATTTGGATGTTCAATTCGTAAATTTTACTTTAAATTTGTAAATGTCATCATCATCATCCGTTCCCTTTGGCTTAATAAAGTGTATCTTCATTGAGAGAAATATTTTGGTTATGGTGTTTCGTCAAGCGAGCGGCTCGCACTTTACCTTACACCATTCGAATACGTGGCAAAACCTGATGGAGTTCTTTGACAAGATTCTCCCGCTTCTCGTTGGCTTCCGGCTGTCCAGGCGCTTGTCCAAGATACCCCGTATGCAGTGTACTATAGTCTGTATAGCAATGAATATTCCCAAGAGGAATTACTCGTAAGTCATTGATATGCAGCTGAAAGAGAGTAGGGAAAAGGACGCAGCCCTGAGGAACGCATTCAGGACACGCAGGATACGAAATCTACGTTCATGCAGGAAGTCAGCAACCTCGGAACAGAACTGGGCAGGAAGACGGTATGCTGGAAGCTTGGAGAGAAGCTTTTTGTGCCCCACCCTGATGACCACTATGGCAATATCAAGGCTGATAGCCAACGAATCGCCCCGCTTGTCGATAGCCTCACCACAGATATGAGTCTAGTACGCTAGAAGATCACCCGTCGTTCGTTTCAGCCTTAAACCATATTGACGATCAGTAATCAGAGAGTGATCCTCTAGGTAGATGATCTACAACAAACAGGATAAGTTGTTTTTTTTGGTGCTTACTTACCTTCAGAGTGATCCTCTAGGTAGCGTGTCAGATGGCTGTTAAGGACCTTTTCTGAGGCTTTACATAATACTGAGATGACTGCTATTGGGCAGTATGTGTCCAGGTTTGAGCAATTCCCTTTTTTTGGGCACCGGTTCGTTGGCATCTCTCCAAATCTCTACATATTTGTAAATAACTCAAAGAGAATTATCAAGCATCCTAAATGCCCAAGTAATACGATTAACATTTAAAGTAATCAATCGTGCGTGACTTTATGTAAAACTTGAGATCTACGAGAGCTCTATTAACAATTCGCCCAATAGACAGACGTATAGAGGCATCTCAAAGCCATTATAATACTATACATAATATAACGGTTGGATAATTCTACTTAAGTACATATATTCATGAAGAGTATGAAAAAAAATTACCAATTATCTTTACAACACAATATTGTATTGTATTGTAGAGATAATAGCTTTTTTTTTCTTTAAAGGTACACTCTAAGTTATCATGAAAATTAAATCTTCGTAAGGACTTGTTAAAGACTTGTCTTATTTTCACAAAAAGTTAGACATGTGTTCAATAGAATTTATTAAAAAAATACATTCAATATTTGCCTAAACAAGGTTTAAAAACTGTGTCTAACTTTTTTGTAGTAAGACCCTGTAGTTGTTGAATATAATGCCAATAAGGTAGGATGATCTACCAAAAATAGGTTATTATAGGTAAGTTGTTTTTTTTTTATGCTTTTATTACTTTTAAATGTAGTCTCATGACTTAAACGAGAGTCAAATTGAGTGCACGACAAATCTAAAATATCGTCAAGTCTTTTCTAGCTCAAATATGTTGATTAGAGATTGTTATTAAAAAATAATGCATTTCCCGTAATATTAATGACGTTGAACGTGCATGAATAGGGTTGCCGACGTCGACGTTTCTTATAATAATAATAATTTGTTTCTCCCAAAACTTAAAAAAATTCGGACTTAAGACTATAATTATGGTGGGAGACAGGAGTCCGAAATAGGTAAACTCCGTGCTATGGAATCTCCTGGTCCCCACCTCTCGGACTTTATTTAGTATTAACCGAATTAATTTTCAGTACAAAATTTTAAACAATGAATGTTAAAGATGTACTTCACAAAGACATAACATTACAGAAAACCAAAACGTTTTAGTGGAGATATCATATTACGTGCAACACTGATACGGGCCTGAAGTTCTAATGCCCACACTAGACACAGAAACTTTTATATGAGATATTTGGGTAACGGATAGTAATGTTAAATATTTTTAGTTTATTGATAACAAAACAAAAATAATAATAACAAAGCTAAAAAGCACGCCTTAATTCGCAGGGCTTTGTCCGGTGTGCTTAGTACAAATACGATTCAATATCATAACAAATTTTGGTGGTTATTTAGTTACATTCGCTGATTATTACAAGTGTCATTTTAAACTAATGTTGTGCGGTAGGTGAACAGCGATCGTGCCGTAAACGTCTGGCCCGGTTCGTTATCATATCTATCTACAAGTTGCTCAATCGAATCTCAAGGATTTTGGCGAAAATACGAGTTATTTAATCTTCCTTCGACATGTATACCACTCTACCACGGAGATCGACAAACCTTAGCTATCTACCAATAGTTTAGTAATATACATAGATCCTACCTTGCCTTCTCACCTTGGTACCTTTGAACCATTATATTCATAACCTTTATAGAAAACTGGCAACCCTGCTCATTACTCGACTCACTCAAAATAATTGTAGCGCGTTATAGTTTAAAACTCTTAATTTCGTCAGTTACGGTGGGCGGTCTTGTGGGCCACGGATTAACATATGGACGGGCAGTCTCGACATGCCAGATACTGCGAAACTCTATTGTGTTAAATAAAATTACGCAACTTTCAAGTAGTCTATTTTAGTAGGATCGAAAACACATTTTCAAACACTTTAACACATTAGTCTCTCAAGGTCTGGTGGTGAAGAAACTCACTTCCTATTTATATATTTTGTATACATAAATAAAAAATATATTTGCACTCTCTGTTATTTACAAAATTAATATAATACAATGATGTTATGTATGTGGGTTCCCTTTAGCTGGCAGAATCTTGTTGCTCAGAAATTTATTTGGCCTAATTACTTAGCATAATCTTTTTTAAACTATTATTTTTAAGGTATATGTTTTTGTACACATAATTATTGTTTGGCCATATGTTTATATATGTTCGAATTCACAATGGCATACTGTTAAGACGGCAGAATTTAATTAGGCATAATTTATTTAAGCTTCATAGCTATTTGTGATCAGTGGGTTAGGTTAGTGTAGTAATATAATCTTAGCGCGAGCGAAGCGATCGTGCCGCGAAAGACGCTCACATTTTTCAATATATCCGACATAATTAAAAAAAAATAAAAGCACGAAAATTCAGCATATGGTTTATGTATAAATACTATTTTCCTAAGTTATACTCTTGCTGTGATTCTTTTCATTTCATATTTGTGAAATAGATTATCTTATATCACAATGAAACTAGCTATGACTTTGAAGGGAAATGAGGAAAGAGTTAAAGTTGGACAAGTAGCCCCTGAGTGGTGGTTGCTGCAGTCACGGCCAGGATCAGTAGCCGAACTTGCCTTCCAAAGCTCGGAAGAGGTCGAGAGAACAATATTTTGGTCATCTACTATCTTATTTTTTACCATTGCCAATCAATCAAATCTCTACAATCGCCAACTATTACTCTTTTGAGCTGAAATATACTATCGGTCAACCATGAAAAAGTCTTGACTAGTCTCAATCCATACCATTATTATGGGTGTATCAAATCTGAAACATGAATATTTATTCTTTTTACAGATTAGAAGAACTCAAAGTGGGTCAGAACGAGCTTCATTCTCTGGACTGCGTCTTGAAGTTGCCGCGCTTGAGGAACCTCGAGGCGGCAAATAATTTAATTACACACTTTGGAGTAAGTAATACTACATAGTAGTGTTCCACATAAACAGAACAGCATAATAAAATAAACTATCCAAGCATGGTCACCATACAGATATACGATACAAAAACATTATTTAGAAGTTAAATATTTTCTATCCTAAAAAATCTTCGATTGTTGTTTATAGAATTTAATGGACTTATTCAGCATAATGTGGTCATGTTAAAGAATTGAAAACTGATTAAGTGACGAGTCTTAAACTGTATAGAACTATTAATACCATCATGGGTAACCAAAAAAATTTATTACAAAGAACTCAAGGCATTTATCTATTCAAAATCTACAGCGATACACAAAACTTCTTATATTTTTAATACAGTTTAAAGTTTTATCAGTTGTGTGAAATAAATATATTAAATGGCTTATTTGTTTTTTTATTTTTACGCACATTACTCATTTAATAAAACAAATTTTTAACGGGCCATATGCACTTATATTTATTTATTGACGTTTCGCGTCCTTTGTAGGAATGCGTCGTCTAGGGACACGATATCGAATAGAAAGTATCGATACTGTACTCGTGAGTAGTATCGGTAAAAAAGTATCGTACTCGTCAAAGTATCGAAACAAAAGTATCGATATTTCAAAGTATCGAGTACTTTTCTTAGGGCCTTATCGGAGCCTCTGTGGCCTGATGAGCAACCCCCCCCCCCCCCCCCCCCCGGATTTTATCGAATCGAATTTTATTTTTTTGTACGTATAACCAAAAACAAACAAAAAGGAAATGTAAATTCATAAATTGCTATATTATATAATGAAAAGAAAATAGCTGTGATTTCTGACACTAAAAAAGTGTTCATTAATATTACATTCATAATTAAAATGTTAATTAAAAATCTCTAAATTTTAAAAATTCAAATTATGAAACTTTTCAGCTTTGTTTCAAATTAAACTTAATTTTCTTGAATTTTAATCATTAAAAAACATTATACCCACTTATGTTAACTTGAATCTGACAAGTAGTTAACGGCTGCCATTGGCATGCTTCACTCAAGATAATAATTATAGAAGAGGTTACGTCCGTCTTTTTTTCAGGTGGTTTCAAATAGGTATACACAGCACAGACAGAATAAAAGTGTTACACTTGAATAAATCAAATACAGTCAAGCGAAAAACACAATAAACGGCGAATCAATCACAGTTCCTAACAATATGGTCGCTAAATAAATAACTATGAAACAAAAGAAAGCGCAAAATAAACACAGTCACAGATTGGAAAGAATTTGAATATGTCAGTTACTGACTAACGCAATAGGGCATTTGACAGTATTAAAAATAAAGTGCCAAAATACCGAAAAAGATATTAGTTTTCTCATCTATTGTCACGTGACCCAAAACGCTTGGGATTGTTTGACGTTTTAATAACAGTCGTGTGACGTTACACACTAGTAAGACGCCCTATTGTCCAGAGAAACGTTTTCGCGGCAACTTGAAAATGGAGTTTTTGATTTGGTTATTTTCACTGAAATACACGACAGAATGATGAATATCCGCTTTTTACGCACTCCATAAACATTAGTCAATAACATGAGATCGTTGCCTAAAACTTATCAAATACCCTATGGAACGTTTTAGAAGGTTTACTATGATTTAACAAGATGGCGTTGCCATCAATATAGGCGCTTATCCAAATTTTTAAAGGTATCGATACTTGCCAAAAAGTACTCATTTAGTAAAAGTATCGAATACAAAGTATCGAGTACAAAAGTATCGGTATCGAAAGGAAAAGTACTCGATACCACAAAGTATCGGTACTTTTTTCGTGTCCCTAGCGTCGTCAGAATAATAATATTTTATTTTATTTTTTTTAAATAAAAAGTCATTATTCTAACGACGCATTCCTGCAAATCTCCACTCTACCACGGAGATCGTCAAAAAGTGTATACCAAAAGTTTAGTGATATACATAGTTCCTACCTTGCCTTGTTTTTTTTCATTTTGATTTTTTTCAAATAAAAAATCATTATTCTAACGACGCATTCTTGCAAAGGATGCGAAACGTGAATAAATAAATAAATTAAGTACATATAACCTGTTAAAAACTTTTTTATTTATATTAAATTACTGTTCAAGTTTACCAATCACATCACGTACTAGAGTAATTGTATCTGTAATTATAGACTGCAGTTAGCTGAAATCTAAAATGATTGGAATAAATGTATCAGCTTCGAGCGTCAGATTTTGATTTGTAACTTTGTTCTGTTTAAATTAGGTATTTGTGTTAATATCATCAAATCTGTAATGTACTTAACTAATCTGTAATGTGCTTGTAGTTTGTATATAGTATTATTTTAGTTAGGTCCGAGCAAATAACTCTACTCCAACTTGTTGCTTTTGTTTGAAAATTTTCAAGGTCGTTTATCCAATTCCAGAAAAGCAACATACAAATGGCTCCCAACGAAGAGAACAAGTCTGAATATCGAGCACCTCTCACCAACGTAGATCTCAGACACAATAGGCTGAAAGGCAGCATTATCCTGGGTAATTATGAGGTAAAGTGGCATTTAGTTCACTGTATAATTATGTCGAATGTTAAAATAATTTGTCTTTCAAATTTTCTTGTCCATTGCTCGCAAAAATGTACCGTGTTCACTTGATAAAAGTTAAAATGCTCGAGTGTATATGATATGGTATTTTTTAAGATAAAGTAGCGATTTTATGTGGGAATTCAAAAGATTACTTAAATGGATAGAATTTTAATTAATACAGCATTCTTTAGATAACATAGTATCTTTATACAAACCTTGAAGAAATAATTTTCTTTTGTTTAACGGTTCAATAGGTATATTGAACGAACTGGAACATGGCGTAGCTTCTAGACATTCATGAGTGCCTGTAACAGCCTTATCTGAATAATGATTTCCATTATGATTATTATTGAACTTCTTATGCTCACATACTTAATTCTACATAAATAATTAACTAGTTCGACGTTTTTTAATTGAAAAAAATATATTCGTATCGGTAACATGGAAATGTACTTTCACAAATAGGTTTCCTCAACTCATCATTGTAGAATGGAAGAATGACAATAAAAACAACTAAAAACTTTACATCAGGTGGTCGATTGCTCATTCCAGCACCTGGTAACGTTAGACGTGTCCCACAACTCCGTGGAGGTGTTGGTGGTGTCAGCACTGCGTGGTCTCCGCGAGTTATATGCTGCCCACAACACTCTACAGCACCTGGCTTTGCACGGTGCCTCGCTGCGGATCTTAAAAGCACCTCACAATCGTAAGTTTCTGGCAATATCATCATCAGCTTTTAATATCCCCACTGCTGAGGCACAGGCCTTCCCTATGGATAGAATAGTCAGATTGGGCCATGATCGGCCCAGTGGATCGGATCGATGGATGTCAAGGACTGCAAATGCAGCCGGGACCAAAGGCTTAAGGTGCCTTCCGAAACACGGAGGGGCTAGAGACATTAAGTTTTTGATCACCCATCCAATGACCGGCCATTGCGAAAGTTGCGTCACTTCCACGATCGCAGACTTAACCCACTAACCACCTGCGCCATCGAGCTCCTTCTCTCATTATTATAAATACTTATTAAACCAATTCTACCATTCAAATGATCGGTATGTGCTAACGACCACTACTTTCCTCCATATAAGTTTTAATGGGTACTATTTCTACTTATTTATTTGGGAACGATGTCGGTGACACCATTTTATTTCAAACAAAGATTTGATGATCATTTTTTACTTTATACTATGTGGAAATGCTTTAGGAACTTTATGAACTCGCAAACGCTTTAGTCTATACTCACTGACGCTAACATTTAATATTATGAGACGCACGCCGGCTGACACAATCACTCATATTAATAAACCACGAATAAGCTTAATGTTAGACTAGTTATACCGTGTTTTGTTCATATCACTCAAGTGACATTTGTAATTCAATGAACAGAGACAAAGCATAGATTAACTAATCCAATTTTATTCTTTGTTTATTAATAATGGAGAATATGTTCTAGTTACTGATTGTCTACTCTTCCAATTGTTGATAGTTTATTCTCTGACTGGATATTATAGACAATACATTCTCAATAACGCATATACTGGAATTTTAGTAGGTTCCTATTCAATTATTAATTTTCTTTCATTTTCAGAATTAGAGTGCCTAACTACAACAGTCCCACCGATCAATCTAGTTGAAATTGACGTATCGCATAATAAGTTGACATCACTACCACACTGGCTCAGCGGCTGTTCGGACCTCACGACTATTCGTGCTAGCAACAATAAATTAACTTCCCTACCGGAGCATCTGTTCTGTAGTGAACTTTCCAGTCTGTGCAAATTACACTTAGCCCATAACAAAATTTCAAATATTCCTTCAATGCCGAGACTTAGAGCACCATTAAAGGAATTACTGCTCCATGATAATTGTATACAATTTCTACCAGAAAATTTCTTTTCAGTGTGTGACCGATTATGTGTGTTAAATTTGTCCAATAACAGATTGAATCGTTTACCTGCTGCTCGTGGCCCCTCATCATATTCTTTAGAACGATTATATTTATCTGCAAATTGTTTGAACGACGATGTATCAAGTGTTATCATTGCTTTCCGAGGACTAAAAATACTTCATATCGCCTATAATTGCCTCACGAGTTTGCCTGAAGGCTGCATAAGCTATTGGCCAGATATAGAAGAACTGGTGCTATCAGGAAATTCCATTACAAGACTACCTGAAAGCTTGCCTCAACTTAATCATATAAGAATTGTAAGGGCGCACTCAAACAGACTAATATCTGTACCAATGTTTGCTTGTAACGCTTCAGTAAAAATATTGGATTTCGCTCATAACGAACTTGATAGTATAGACTTAAGACTTCTTGCCCCAAAGCAACTTAAATTTTTGGATATATCGTGTAATAAAAAATTGCAAGTAGATCCTTCACAGTTTAGTGCATACAGATGTCAACGGCCCCTAAGTTTGGTCGATGTAACTGGAAGAAATTCTTTATCTTGGGTTCAAAAAAGTGGTTATCACGAAGAGATGAATGGTCACACCCCTTGGGCGAATGGATTTTCAGAGTGTCCCAATAAATCACTACAACTTTGTTGTGCTCAAATTCGATTACAGTCATTTTGCAATAAAGAAGGTTTTTTTGCAATAATTGACGGGGAAACTGACATGGAAGTGCCTAAAATTTTACAATCTAGTTTGCCTGGATTGCTACTGGAAGAAAAATCAATCAAAGAAACAGTTAATGAATATATGAAATATGTAGTATTATCAGCACATAGAGAACTTAAAGAAAAAGGCCAAAAAAAGGGTGCTTGTTTAATAATGTGCCATTTAACTCCTATAAACTCGCCAGATAATGGTTTCGGACAAACATCGAAAAAGTATAATATGAGACTAGCAAATGTTGGAGACACGAAAGCAGTCTTAAGTAGACGAAATGGTCCTTTATGTTTAGGTCTTGAAAATAACAAAAGATTGGGCTATTCTACGAGGTATCCAAACACAGTTCCAGACCCCGATGTCATACAAACAGTTATAAAAGAAGACGATGAGTTTTTAATTATGGGCAATGGGAAATTTTGGAATGTTATTAATATAGATACGGCGGTATCTGAAGTGAGAGCTGAACGTAATCCAGTTCTCGCCGCAAAGAGATTGCAGGATCTGGCACAAAGCTATGGTGTAGAGGATTGTTTATCAGTTTTAATAATAAGATTTGACACTGTGCGATCTGATGTGGATATGCTAATGAGGGAGCTGAGACAAACTATAACTAGTAACAAATCGATGTGCAGAGCGGACTGTTGTTGTTCGCGAATGGAGCCTTGTTGTCATTCAACTACTCCACCTAAGCCTAGTAGCGATCGGTCTTCACCGAGTGGACAAAGTGATCGACCTCCTAGTGAGTCCGTCAGCCACCAACACTACGCCAGCGTACGCTCACAACATAGGCCATCAGAACGGAGAAGTTGCAGAGGTGGAGTCGCAAGAGCTATTCGTGTCCGTGTAGAGGAGGATAAAGAAGACGACTCCAAAATAGATGAACTTCCTGATTCAGAAGAACAATTTAAATGCTGGGAATACATGCTAGAACAAAATACCCAGATGTTATTCGATAAAGAATTGGATAATCTCTCCAAGGGTATCAAATCAAATGTAAGCAGTTTGAGAAATATTAAAGGACTGTCCGGCAGCAGTCCTCAATTGCACATAAATGGTAAACAAAGTAAGGGTGTCCCGTTTTTATCTAAGCATTTCGGTAGTGCAAGGTCATTCGGAACAGCTCTGAAGCCTGATGTAAGATTTGGATCCGGAAGAGTGCCAAATGGAGGTCCCAATGCAGCATATTTCGGTTCTTTACAACGCTTGATGCCTTACCATTTAGAATATGATTTTGCTGTGATACAAGAAAAAAGCGCGCAATCCGAGGATTCATTAGACCTTGAAGGCCGCATGCAACATTATTGGGGCGTAGCCACTACTGAACTATAATTAAAGCGTAGGTATTATTATTTAAGATTAATTTAAATAAAACTTCGAAATAAATTAGCGTATTTATATACCATTCATCTGTCGACTAGAAGTTTTGCACAAAGTATTTTATCACTATCATGGACTTAGGAAAACTAGATAGATATACTTATTAAATATTACATTAAAAAAAGATTTATGGACAGTATTGTGCTACTGAAATTAAAATTTGTCAATGTTACACAATGCAATAAGAAAGTAAGTAAAACCATTATGTTAAATTTTTGTGTTTCATTGGTAATAAATTATTATTTATAATTATTGTTTTATATTGAATAATAACACTTTTCATTTATGATACTTATTTAACTATAATTTATTTACAGGTTACCTTCATATACTTATAAGGCGTTTATAATATGTCAATTTGTGCTTCAAACATCACACAGTATTATCTTATGTACAATGGTAGTGCTTTGTCATACTAAATTTAGTGGAAATCCTTAACAATTAGGGTACTTATATACAAACATTAACAAATCTACAGAGTAAAATGTGATTTGAAATTGAGTAAACATGCCCATCTTGTGTGAAGTAATGCAAGGTTTTCTTTTTTTTCTCACTTTGTCATTTAAATCTTTAAATATAATGGTTATACACACTTTCTGTACACTATAAGTAGGTAAGTGTGCAAGTTCTAAATTCCAGACCAATTTTAATAAGATTTATAATATAAAACAAATAACATCTTTACTCAATTCGAATCGTGAGATCTAAGTTTCTTACATAATATCAATAATTTTAACAACTGCATCGGGAGTTTGTCTTTAGATCATGATGTTCATTAACAGTTTGATTTAGCTTTTATGTTTTGCTATGCTCATTTTTTAATATTAATTACTGACGGTTCACAACAAGTCTTTTTTCTTAGAATAATAAAACCGCACTTGTAGCCCCACCGATGATATGACACGATTGTGAATTCGAAAAAATATAGTTTTTAATATGCCGCTTTTGTTAATTTTCTCAGATTCCTGACCAACAAAGCATGACCTGCTTTGTCACTATCATTAAAATTTTATAATCGATTCAATTATGTAACATAACAGTTTGCAAATTTAGTATTGACTCTGATAATTCTGACGTTTCAAATTCGCGAAGTTAATGTTTGCTTGTCACACTGGATATCCATAGCTGATCGCAGCTTGCGCTTACTAACAATAATATCCGCGCTGCTCCGTTACTTTACTCATGTTCTGTTAGTGTTAGCTAATCACGAAATAATGATACCCATAGCTGGTCACACCTAGTGATTTACAACGAACTCCAGTGATTGCGGCGTAAGTGCTAGCGAGAAGGACGTCGGTGCGGCGAGAGTAGTAGTGCTCCCCGACCTAGGATGGCCAGAAATGCTGATATATTACACGTTTCAGATTCGCGCTATAAGTGATTGTTAGTCACTCCAGATACTCATAGCTGGTCACAGCTCACGTTTTACGACGAGCTCCAGTGGTTGTGTCGCAAGTGCTAGCGGGAAGGGCGTCGGGTGCGGCGTGGGCGCGGGTGGCGCGTGCGCCGGGGGTGGCCGCCGCTAGGGAAACCCGCGCGGCGAGTAGTGGTGCTCGCCGAGCCAGGAGTCGGGCGACGGCGGAAAGTCGGGGTAGCCACCCGCTGCCGGCGACGACGAACTGCTTAAATCAGACGCGCCACCGGCACCAGCCCCGCTTATACCGGTGCCACTCATTGCTTGACCTGTAAAATTCGTTCATTCGTTCATAAAATATAAGCATTTTTAGCAATGAAGTCTTTTAGCTTATTATGAACTTTCTCTTTGTTAAATTGTAATGCCCATGAAACTTTACAATCAGTTTTAACAGTCGAAATGCCAGTTTGAGTACTTACTAAGGGTTACCGCTCCGATAAGGATCTTACAACTATTAAGGTGCTGGTGACCGCAACTGGGGGGTCATAAGCGGCAAATTCGGATCATACTGCGCGCCCACTATTATTCTTACCTACCCTGGGAACAGTTTTAATACCTACCTATAGTTGTACTTGTGTAGAAGGGGTGGTTGGGCAGATAAAGATAGTAAAAATGAGACTGTGAATGGTTACTGAGGTATATTGAGGCAGCATACCATGGCAATCAAATTGTCTTAGTACCTACCTGTATTTGTGTAAAGATATAGTGATAAAGTAAATGGGTACTCAGGTATGGTAAGATGACTGCGTACACACATCCACTATATCCTCTGTCTCTCCCTGGCGAACTGTCTTAGTACCTAACTTAAATTGTATATACGCGGTGGTCAGGCGGGTAGTGGTAGTGCGGATGAGGTGGTGAATGAGTCCGGTCAGGTAGGATTTGAAGCGGTGTACCGGGCGCCCCTGCCTCCCCTTCTTTTCACTTGCTAACTCTCTTGGTACTTTTTCTCTCGTTGCCAAACTGTGTTAGTACCTACCTATATTTGTATAGACGAGGTGGTCCGGCGGGTAGTGGTAGTGCGGATGTGGCGGTGAATGGGTCCTCAAGTATGGCGGGGTAGCGGCGTACCGTGCACCCCCTGCCGCGCCCGCGCCTCCGCCCCCCGCAGGTGAACCCTCCTCGCCACCAAGCGCCACCGTACTGTAGCTGTCGTTGCTCAATTCTGCATTCATAAAGTTATCTGACATTTAATTTTCAAACATCTGTTTGTATCTTGTCCTTTATCTACCAGAAGTCGTATTATGAGATCTTAGCACCAAGCTAGATCTGATGTTAGAGCGAGACATCGCATACATGCAGATGAGTGGTATCCCTTTCAACCTTTGTTTTTAAGTACCCGGCGCAAAGAGAACACGACTACAGGTACCTACAGGTACCTACAGGTGTATTATCATACTTCTGACAAGTTCCATTCGAAAATAATTATCTTAATTTATGAACTTATTGTACCCAAGAGATCAATAATCACCTACTTAATACATTAGATAATAAATTTGTTTCGAAAATTACAACCAGAAACTACTACAATGAATAAAATATTAAAGATTTCAAGAAAGTTTCTTATCGCTTGCCGAATTACTTAATTAATTTACTGTCATTATTATGCGTAAGACTCCATTATATCATTCTTATCAGTCATCATTTTAACATTCTACAAAGATATCATGATAACGATGTGAGAAATCCCAAATACGATTAATTTGGGATTTCTCACCGATAAAACTAGCCAATTCCGGGAAGTATCAAATGAATACATAATAAAAAGATAATTGTAAATAAAAAGTAAGTTTTCACGGAAGCTCATATCTAGATGGAATAAATGCTATAATCATCTTTTCCGCACGATAAAACCATGTGATAACACTCGCCATGCCCGGAAACTAAGTGCGGATTTAGTTTACAATTAAATGATAATATTAATAAATACCTAAAATGTGTGTTTCATAGTAACTGATATCTAGATGAAATCAACATAGGCTGATGATGCCATTCGATTATTGTGTTACAGAACAAATTCCCCTCCCAAGGCACGCCACAGCTCTCCTAACTTAATTATTATCTCTAACCCAAATGAATGTCATTACTACACCCATTGCAGATGTGTCCGGTGCCAATTCAGGAACCCGTTTGGCACAATAACTATCGCGAATCACCACGCCACACGCGACGCATGAAGCCCCGTCCGTAAATGAGACCTCAAAGATGTCAATTGGATTGAGTTTTTATCAAAGTCATGAGACGAGAAGAAAGAGTCAGCATAAACTTTGATCCAACTCAAAAATGTATAACATCATTGTCGTCTGATGATGATGCACTATTCAGCGTCAATGGTATGTTGTCGTAGCCAACATATTCTTTTCTAAATGCGTTTGACTGCTTACCATGATGGCTGAAAGAGTCCAGATCGATCTTGAGCTCGTCCTTGTCAAGGAGGCGATCGTGGCGCGGGGAGCTGCCGCCGCTCTTCATGGACCTGAAGTACTGCGACCAGCGGGTTCGACCCGCGTCCTTCTTCAGTCTCTTTTCCTTCGCTCGTCTGAAAAAGACGGAAAATTAATGATATTAATATGTTTTTAAGTTTATACATTTATTAAAAGAGGCACGGCTTAGCAGATTTTCCGCTTCAATTAGAGCTCCAAACATCTGCTCCCACCGGGAAAATAACATTACCTTTTGGTAGCTAGTTTTGTCTTTCTGTCGGTAAGTAAGGTTACCAGTAGGCCTATCCGCTAACTGCCTTTGACAGATGGAAGTGATAATCACCGGGCTAGTTAGTGATCCATTACTGCTTTATTATAACTCTACTAAGATACTTGTTATGAAAAGCATCGATGGATATTCGATTTCCTCTTAAGTTACACAATGTAAATGCCAAAAGAGTTAACGAATAGACCAGGAGGTCTCCTGTTTTTCTGAAATTTCTTCTGTTCCTCTGTTTTTCTACATGAATCTACTGTTTTTCTTAAAATACGATTTGCTTTTTTTTAAATTGCATGTTGAGTTGCGTTTAAAAAACAGCTTTGAAGAGCGGCAGAAGCCACAGCAACGCATTCGTTACTGGCCTATATCTTGATTTGATTTTGGGGGGGTGCAAATCAGAAAGAAAAAGTACGCCTCTGTATCTACTGTTTTTTCTTGTAGCTCTCTCCACACATCTACTGCATATTCTATAACGCCCCCTTGATTTTTAAAAATCAGACCCCTCAACACTGGCTCCACGGGATATTAGGTCAGCGTAGGCAACGGTGCGAATGATAGTTTTGGAATCACAACCGTCTATAGGCCATGTTGCCCGCTTACCATCAGGCGGGCCATATGCTTGTTCGCCACCCTTTTAAGAAAAAAAAAATATATGAACATTTTACTCGGTGCAGTGTCATCGCTCAGATAGCGAAAGGCGCTGCCTCGTATCCAGCCTGACACTAGAACGGATGGAATTTAGTCTAGTACAAGTTTATTTAAATTAGACAAGGTGCCATGCAATCACATGGCCGGCCTGGTGGTAAGCGGCCCCATAGCTCAAACACCAAGGATGTTTGACCGTTACTACTCGCGGGTTGTCTATACTTTGAACCCACGTCATAGGTATCCCTTGGGGCACTGGAACCGTACCTAATTGGTGACATGAACTATAGAAAAGGGTTAATTAGGTGCGGTTAACGTGGAGGTTATTCAAATGATGCGGAAAATGCTGTGAAGCCTCCCGTTCAATTGAAAAATACAAATAGATGTATAATTTGAATTATCATACATAACACTCCCGAAGCCACTGTGACTCAACATTGGGCATTAGAGATGATTTTCCGGGGACAATAGGCAGTGCTTACCTGTGAGTCCCTTACAATAGGTTAGGTAAATAAGAAATTTCTGTCAGGCAATCATGTAACTAAATTGCGTGGACAATAAATATGCCGCTAGAAACTATTAAAAAGTTTATTATATCTTTGAAGTGATATTTTGTTTTCGGACGGGGAGTAAATGGAAAAATCCTATGGAAAAGATGTAATGGAAATGCATCACGAGCGTCACACGCGACAATTTATATATATATATATATATATATTATTATTATTATTATTATATTATTATTTTTTTTATCATTCATCATCATCAGCCTATTAATGTCCCCACTGCTGGGGCACAGGCCTTCCCTATGGATGGAATAGGGAGATTGGGCCATGACCCACCACGCGGGCCCAGTGCGGATTCGTGGGTGCTAACGACTGCAAATGCAGCCGGGACCAACAGCTTAACGTGCCTTCCGAAGCACGGAGGAGCTCGAGATAGTAAATTTTTGGTCACCCATCCAATGACCGACCACTGCGAAAGTTGCTTAACTTCAACGAACGCAGCCAAACGCGCTAGCCACCTGCGCCATCGAGCTCCTCGTCATCAATCATTTTTTTTATATGATGAGTTATTATTATTATGTTGCGTCTTCACGCCTCTTTTAAAGGATCCCAGGTTGTAAAAGGGAGGGAACACGTGAGCGGGCAGAGCATTCCATTTACGGATAGTGCGACAAAGAAATGAGTCACCAAATTTCTTTGTACGCGTTGGAATTGTGGACACAGACGGTGACAGCGTAAGCCAGCGCGCGTGGTCCTCTGAAGGAAAGGGGAAGGTGGAATAAGAGAGAATAACTCCTCAGAACACTCTTTATGCACCGCCTAATGTTAGGTTATTAAAGAAAAGAAGTTTCTTTTGTCAGTGAGGAAGTTTACCAGAGCTTATTAAGCTCCTGGGATCCCTATAAAGGGGTAAGTAATCGAAGAAGCGTTTATTGGCTACTAGTTTGCTACACGACTTCATCTGCGTGGAAAAATTGGATTTTCTCACAAACTTCTAAACCCCGTTTCACTCGCATAAAAGATAGACTTATGTCCTTTTCAGGACCTCAAAATATCTTTTCACCAAATTTTATCTAAAACAGATCAGTGGTTTAAGCGTCAAGGAAGAGAAGACGCAAAAGTCAAACAGAAAAAAAGACAGAAAGACACACTTTTGGGGTATAAAAAATAGTATAGATGGTCGTAATAAGTAAGTCCATACGCTTGTTTTACTTAAAAAAGTATTTTTATTTATGTAAGTAGCTATAAAATAGGACGGTAATTATGATTAGAAATTATGCCCCTATTCACAATTACTTATTATTCGTTTCGTATAGTTTTTGCATGCAATGAGTGCGTATACCGCATAATTGGTAGCGTTTATTTTCCGTACCTAGGTGTGTTATTCCCTATCCACTCAATTTGTAATGGGATTGGCCCTGGCCCTACCTACCTGTAAACCATCTAAATATGAAAAATGCTCTTTGTCCATATTAGTCATACATTAGTTATAATAATGAAGATAAAACAATGTAATATACTTATTTACCTAATATATAAATAGCACCTTTGTCCATAGATTAAATAAATCATTATCGATTTCCGTTTTTGGTACTGGAAGCAGCATGTAGGTTGATTGGAGCGTAGAACGAACTCTATACCGCAACGAATGATGTTCTAAAAAAGGAATGAATATAAAGAAAAGAGGAGGGACGTCATCGAAGAAAAGTCAGAGAACGGAGAATAAACTAATTATTGATATATTTTTGAAGTTATACTTCTTTAGGCGCGTTATGAAAAAATGATGAGAGTGAAATTTTAAGATGCGCGCGCATCACTGTAACACAAAATTTTAACAGCATGAAGTTGGTCGCTTTAGCTACCAACTTCATGCGTTACTTTTGTGTTTACCGCAAATTAAAAAAATCTACCAACAAAATAGAAATAGAATCTCTATTTAGTGGGTGCTAACGACTGCATTGTGAAGGCCTATCAAAAGTATTTATTAATCTGGAACAACGGAACCAAAGCGCGATTCAGGAGACTACAGCGCCATCTCTTGACCATTGGTGTAGTAGAACCAAAAACCACTTCTTTATTTTTTGTAATAAAGTAACAGTTATAGGTATTCATATTTATAATATTTATCCACATGTTTCTAGTTTATATATTCGGAATACGTGTTTGAGTTTCATACAAGTGCAAATCACATATGTTCTAATAAATTATATTCAGTAGCGATTTTAATTGAATATTTTGATTATTTATTTATTTTTTCAAATTAAAACTGAACTTTATTGACTGTGTCCTTTTCCAGACTTTTTATTAATTTATTGTAATTAATTATTTGCATGCAATTAAAAACTAATTTTAAACGATGCCAAAGAAGGATAACTTCTCACGCGCCTACATAAGTACACGCACCCATTTTTTTTATGTTAGAATAAATGTTATGTTTGTGCAGTTTAAGTTTTAATACAAGGATTATTTATTATTGAGCAAGTAACGCCGACATAGGTCGGAAGATTACAGTTAGGGTTGCCACCCGTACTTTATTATAAAGTATTGTACGTTATTTCGGGTAATTGTACTCTTTACTTTATGCCAACAATAAAGTACGTGAAACACTTTATTTGATGTGATTTGATTACCTAGGGATATATTTACAAAAAGAGGTTGATAGAAAGAATTTTTACGTAAAACGGAACAACAGTATGTATATGTCGCCCTTAGTTCATTCCTGAAACATTGTCGCGGCTGTATGGCTTTGAACATTGGTCTTTCCCATTGCGAATAAGAACTACAGATTTTTAGAAGTCCCAAATTATTTATTAAAAGTTGCCAGAAGCAACGCAAAATATATTTTTCACAACATACTGGGTTACAGCTCAAACATACTGGGTTCCCTGCTTAATAAGAGTGAGGGAAACGCGTTTTCCCTGCGAGAGTGAGGGAAAGTGATTTGAATTCAGAATGCTGTGAATTATCATTATGTACGAAACACGTCATTCGAAGTTCGATTTATCAAATTTCAGAACACCCAAACAATAAAACGTTCGGAAACTAATAAACCTTTAAAATGAAGATTATTTGGTAACGTTGTAATTAAATATCTAATTAAATAATAAAATATAATGAATACACTGAAATAAAGAAAAAAATAAAGAAAATGTTTTAGAAAAAATACGAAGTATGTATGCACAAATAATTTATAGTTTTAAAAATCTTTATTGGTACAACAGAATACTACCGGTGCAGTTTCAGAACGTAACTTTAAAAATAGCGGGAAACAAAAATCAATATTATTTCTTCTTCTTTTGTTTTTCGGTAAGTAACTACTTACAATTAGTGTTGCATATCACAAATTCATAAAATATGAGTGAGTCTTGTGACGGAAACAGCAATTTAACACCTGAAGAATTAAAACAACAAGTGTTGAATGCTGAATTCAGTTTTATTCCTCAGAAATCATGTGATAGATATCTGAAAACCTATGATGTTTTCAATAAATGGAGACTTGAAAAGGGCGCGAACACTTTCTCGGAGAATGTATTATTGTCGTACTTCATAGAATTATCACAAACAAAGCAATCACCTACAATGTGGAGTATTTATTCGATGTTGAAAGCTACAATAAAGACAAAACATAATGTTTATATTGAAACTTATCCCAAACTTATTGCATTTTTGAAAAGAAAGTCAGTAG